TGAAGTAGCAGGTTTGGGGCGCCACGGTGGTGGGATGTTAACTACCTCACCTGGTATGCAGGAAGTCATGGGTTCAATCCTGACTCTGACGCCTTTATATTTGGAATTTTCATGTTTGCCCTGTGGTCACGTAGACTTTTCGCCTGGTCCTCTGTTTTTTTCTCTCCACATTTAGAAACATGCGTTTAGAGTATTTGGCTGTTATAAATTTCGTTGAGATGTCATTTGTGGCGAGGTCTCTTCTGAAAAATTGCGATGTAGCTCAGGGGGCCTTACCTGGTAAAATAAAAAATAGTTTAGTTTTAGCTTTATTAAAATAAGCAGCGTTATAAATGTCCTATCTGCATATTTACCAAGTAGAAACATTCACTTGCTAGTTGTAAACATGTCTTTTTCAATGGGGACTGGGAAATCTATATTTTTGTTGCTTCATGTAATGTTCAAGTAATCACTGATCGACTTTACACAAATTAAAAAAGTATCATCACCAATGGTCACCTTGTGCAGGTGTAACGTGCCAATATAGCTCACTAAGCCTCTTCTGAACTCTTCAAATGTGCCACAACCTTGCTTGGAGAACACAATAAAGGGTGAGTGGGCTACATTGTCACATTACACCTACACAAGATGACTATGTAGGACCCCGACCGTCAAACAAACCTGTTTAATATCGTTACAATGCACGCATTCTTTGACGATATCAGATTATCCATTGGGATAATTAGTCTTGCTGAGACAACAAAAATGCACCGTTCACGTATGATGTAAACGTGCATGCCCTGCCACTGCTGTACTGTATGTGCTTCAAATATAACGGTCAGGAGATCTGGAGAAAACAACACAAAAGAATAAGCAGGGATAAAATCCAGCACTAATGGTCAGAAAGTAGGTTTAAAAATGTTCTGCTTTAACCTTATGACATCAAGCAGAACAAAATGGTTCAATCATGCATAAGAACCACTGCACAGTGCAACTCAACATACGTATATCTGACACAAAGGCAGAAATCCACTGCATAGCCTTTAACAAACTGTTGGGGCGAGTGCTGTTAGCGAGCACCTATTAAAACCAGCACGGCACAAGAGATGGTGGGTGGCCGCAACCCGGCTTCCTTTGTCTCCCTAGTGGCGATGTTTGCACACCACACCAGCTAATAATTTGAGGCTGAGTAGAACTAGAGGAGGCCCAGGACCAGTTCAGATAATCGTCACTGGTGTTGGCCATGAGCGGGAACGGAATTCTGGTCACGGAGCTCGTAACACAGCGCACTATCCACTACACTACCGCTCCCCATATGCATGCACACACATACATAAAGACGTGCCGTTCTTTGTGTGTTAATGGATGAAAGGGGATATTCGGTGAAATGCGCCAGCCTTTCCTCTCCGAACCCCAGCAGCCGCATGGTAAACTGCAAGCTGTGTCTGGAGGCTTCGTTTGGCATAAGGAATAGGGTTAGGCTAGGAATTGTCTCACGCCACAAAAATTCCAAAAATGTCAGCCAAGCAATGTAAAACCCACCAACTGTAGCAGTGCTGAGCTATGTGCTGGTAAAACATTTGTGACATAGACCTTTAACCTTGCTTGTCATGGGCCATGATGCTCACAGCATTCCCAGAGTGTGCTTCTCACATCCAAACAATTAATTAATACTTCCAACATGCACACATTCTCTTACGTTGACATTAATTATTACGACTGAATTTATGTTGATTGTTCAAATTTATAATTGATGTAGATTGGTTTTGATGGGCAATTCCGACACAAATGAAACAGTTACACAATAATATTTGTTGTTGATGATGACATCAAATAAGTCAGTATTATGTGCGTTTCAAATTGTGCTTTGGGACAGTTTGCATGGTAAATGCAGAGCACACAGAATGCAGTCTCACATTTGTATGATGAATGGCCACAAAATCTCAGTCATCCACTTAAAAAATCACACTTAAGAAAACCTCTTCAATGCATAAATGCATGGTAAAGATGAAGGCATGAATTTGGCAGCCCGTGTGCCTCGCAGGTGCAATGTCAGAGAACTGCACATTGGACCCTGACATGTCGATGTTTTTCACCAAGTTTTAAACAGCAACTATGGCAAGGAGTGACTGGAAGAGGCATCTGCGGAAAGGAGACAGGCAACTAGGCAGGGTTCACTGTGGCCACAATGAGTTACGCATTATGCATGTTCCTGAAGCCCCCACAGCCACAGGAAAAGACAAAGCCCTACATTAAGACTACTGGCTTTTGCGGGTTTACATGATAGAATAATCTCGTGTGGCCGGTAAAGTATTTAAAGTCGTGCATTACGCAAACGGCAGAGGGTGGTGAGTCACGGTGAAAGGGGAGTGTGGTGGCGGCAGTGTCTAGCATGTTGCGCTGTGTACACACAGCAAGCCCCTGCTCATATCAGTAGCAAGTGATATCTGAATGGTCTTAGCAGGTGATATCTGAATCGGTCTTGGATCCTCCCCCTTTACCAAACAGCATTGGCTCGTGTGAAGTATGGTGAAATAACCCATCATGGTGTGGGGAGGCTATTATCCAGCGGTGGATTGACAAATAGCTGTCAAATATGAATTATTACACTAATGAAGCAACAGAAATATTTATTTATTTTTAAAATTGCCTGACGTAAAATATGAAATGATCAGCCCAATGAATCTAACTTGGTATAAACTTCCTCAAAAAGTATGTGGGAAATATTTATATTTTGTTTATCTATTTAAATTCATTTAATGAAAAAAGTTATGTTTCCTTTACCCAGGACAGCCTTTTGGAGCCTGAAGACTGTTTTTCAGGGGGCTTTGCTTGGCATTTTTAGTCAATCACATTGAAAATATTTACTTATGGAGGAAACAGGAGGGCAAATCTGTATGGAGAGGTCAGCGATATCCTTGCTGTGCTATCTACTGATCACTTTGCAGGCCAGCAGGTAAAGATTGTCACATCACAAGATGCTCTCAGACCACAACACCCAAAGTGTACATTATCTCATGCAGGGTTGAGCCTAGCTTGTACTTGGATGTGAGACTGCTCAGGAGGGAATAATAGGTGCTATCGGCTTGGGCTACGAGATGGCCAGGAGATGAAAACAGAGAAATAGATAAAATATTTTTTGTGCGGAGCTTTGCATGTTATTCTCTTGTCCACTTTGGTATTCTCTGGGTACTCCGGTTATCTTCCACATGCCTAACGCTCGTTAAAGCAATTGACCAAACATCTCAATTCAGGACTCCTCGAAAAAAAAGTACCTTTAAACACAGTGCGGCTTTCATGTGTAAATAGCGTATTATTATCACTAACTCTACATAATCCACCAGCCCCACCTCCAGAGCACTGTATAGATGTCGCGCATCACGGCCACCACGCCTGCTACAATTCCGAAACGTTCACAGCCAGGGGTGGCACTGTGTGAGATGCGCACATCCTGCAAGGGTTTAGGCGGCGTGCGTGCGGGCGGTCTAGAGGGCGGGTGGGGGACAAGCAGCCTGGCGATCGTTAGCTGAGGAATGCACGCCCTGCAGACTTCCCATTGTTGTGGGGATCCTGCTGGTGTATGGGAACACTGCACGCGTGGAGCCGCACCCCCGCAATGCTACACCAATAAGAAAGGGGAAACTTGAAAGGGCACTTGTGAAGTCTCTTGTGTGGCCCAGCGGACAATGCAGTGGTGGGTGACCACAGAAAAAAAGAGTTCATGCATTGTAGATTAGAGGGGGGGGGTTTTCTTCCTTTTCTTGCTCTGCACGTCAAAGCAATTTGGTCTACTCGGGACACAAGCATAACTGAGTGAAATCACGAACTCCAAGTGGTTCACAGACAAGATAAAAAAAAACACTTCTTTTCTAGAAGCTGCTATACATGTTGAGCCTGATGCAAGTGTCAGGGAAAACGGCTTTTTTTGGGGGGGGGGGGGGGGTGTGGGAAAGACACCAAAATGGCAGCATCGGCAGACACTGCCATGCTGCCAACTCAGGAAAGAGAGCTTCGACATTTGTTACTGAAACAAAACCAACCCAACAGCACTAGCAATTGAGCATCTGTATACAATGGCACAGGAAGCCTGTCGGCAAGCTTGTCATTATCCTTTTGAGCAGTGACGGGTGCTCTCCGCACCCGTCACTGCTCAAAACGCCATGCAGCATTTGCTGCAGAATAATGATGGATAACAACATCGGCACCAACAAAGAGATACATCAATCATTATCAAGGTAATACATTTTAAAGGTAGCCAGAATGATGGGGAAAATTACAGAAGAAAACAAAATACACAGATGCTTGATGAGTGGAGCAGACGGATAGATGAATGCATGTCACAAAGTTTGTTCCCCATAGTGAAGGAAAGAAATGTTTAAAACATAAGCGGAGTAACAATAAAATATAATTATCCCCTCTTGTATAGCAAAATAGAGGAGGGAAGCACTCACGCTGCCTGCATGGCTGTTGAAAAGAAGAAACTTAAGGATCATATTAGGTCACGTGATCAAGTGAGATCTACTAGAGCAGTGGTTCTCAATCTTGCTGGACCCGTGGAATCAAGGTCAACCCTCAAAGGATTTTCATGGATCACCAATCAGAAAAAAGATGACTGTGAAAAAAATTGTATACACAATCGTTCCACAGACCAATGTTCATAGCCTTGCAGACCACCAGTGGTCGATGGACCACAGGTAGGAAACCACTGTACTAAAGGGATGTCTGGCTTTGGGAGTGCTTTCCTAAACACAGTGGCAGCATGTGCAATACGGAATTTTCTACTCGAACTACAAACAAAGACAAAGGATGAAAAAACACACAGGACTGCCACGTCCACGGACTGCATTTATAAACAGGCGACAAAAAGGTTTGTGATCACAACAATACACACAGCGGGACAGAATAAAACGGTGTCGGAGTTTGCCCACGCATGCGGTCACAGTGGAGGCTGCAGCCGCATTAGCGAGAGTAGGAGGGCCGCACGTGTCGCACAGCGGCCAGGGCGAGGGGCGAACACCAACCTGACGACGTTGGGGTGCTCGAAGGTCTCCAGCTGTCGCAGCAGGGCCACCTCACGGATGGTGGAGAGCGGCATGCCCTCCTCACCCGTCTGTACGCGCACCTTCTTGAGGGCCACAAAGCGGCCTTCATTCTGCAGGTCGCGCGCCTTGTACACCGTGCCGTAAGCCCCCACGCCGATCTCCGCAATGGGCTCGTACTGCAGCCGGATGTCGCCGCCGCCGCCGCCGCACTGCTCCATGCCGCCCTGTGTGCCTCCTCGCTTGCCTGAAACACAGCGCCAACCCGCTGCTCGAACGCCAATCCGCTGTCGAATGACCTCTCTGCTGGAACGCCGATCCGCTGGCAGATCACTTTTCTGCTGGAATGCCGATCCGCTGGCGGATCTCCTCTCTGCTGGAATGCCGATCCGCTGTGGGGGTTACCTTCAGCAGCGATCACAGAGTACGGCGTTTACTGCCATCAGTCTGTCAAGAGACACTTGTTTTGACAGCGCTGCAAAGTTGACCAATTTGTGATCCATCCAAGCGTGGTTCCCCCAACATCGGATAGAACATGAAAGGCTGCCTACAAAAGCCAATATTCAAACACTGCTTGAACTTCAAAGTGTTTCAATAGCTCTGGCTCTTTGTATTTATTTAAATCTCAAATATGTACACTGTATACACAATACATATTTGAATTCACTGCAAATCAGGTTGGTACAACATGATCCTGATAACAAAACCGTTGTGCCTCCCAACTCTCATTTTGCTCCCAAGCTTAAGAACAACATGTCACTCACTGGACTATCTTCACCGAGCCACCGGCTGCACAGCAAATAACAAGGCGGCACATGCCACAGCAAGATGCCATGCATGCCTGCTGCCCGACATGAACACTGTCACTTTCAAGTACTGCAGGACAGGGTTTGAATAATCCCAGTGTATTCTTCAATGGAATGTTACAGTCCCCAGCCTGAACAGTCGAATCACAGACAACATCAAATGCTAAATAACACAACAATTATCTGGGCGATTCTAACAACCAACACGGCAAATAATAGATTAGATTATACTGTCCGTTGATTTATTATTTGAGATTTATTACTCTTGCAAGCAGTTTACAGTTTTACCCGTTTGTTATCATATATACACATTCACTTTATAAGCTGGGAGGTCAGCAAGGGAGAGAGTATGCCAGACAGGCAGTGGTATGAAGAGGAAACTATCTGATTGTGCCCTGCTGTTCTCAGCATGAGTGAACGCTGTTATACGTCAGATCGCAGCCGAGACTGTGATGAAGTCAGCGCAGATGGTTGCCACTGCCGTGAAAATGACGTGTTATGTCTGTGTGGTTTATCACCACACTGCACCCGTGGACATATCAATCTGACAGCGGCTTGAACGCTGCTGCGATTGTACAGGAGATCTAACTTTTCCTCCACTTTTAAACATGGGTTAGTTTCCCAAATATGTATGGGGTATTGGTTGTCAATGAGAACAAATACAAGATCAAACGTTACAGCCCAGTACTGTACAAGGCAATAAAGGGAAATACATACACAGTAAATTCTGATCCATGGAAGCAGTTTTGGAAATAAGAATTCTACATGTGATTTTCACCTTTTGTGAGACCATGTATAATGCTGTACCTGCATCGGTAGAACACATGGCTACTGCCAGCTGTTCATATAACATTCGTGTCATAGCCCCAATATAGTTTGCTCCTCCGTAATTAAAATGAAAAAAAACGTTGGGCCTTATCAATGTTGGGAGTTTCCTTGGGTTTATTGTTGCAACTTGTGCTTTGTAAATCCCACTAGTCAACTCCAGAAATGCCTCAGATGCAAAAAGGGGGCAAGTTTGTTTACAACACAGCCCTCCAGTGTTACCAGAGAAACACAAAAAATGTCAAATATTTTCCCAGCTCCACAGGGCAACCGGTCAGACTCCACCCCCGAGGGAGGTGTGATCGTGGCTGGCGAGGAGAAGCAGGATTCCAAGCAAATCCCCGAGCCCAAGACTCGGGCTGCGCCTTTCTGCTGCTGCCGCAGGCACCAAGTGCTCACTCGCGTGACAATCCACCACCTCAACCACCACCACCACCACCACTAAAACCACAACTACCACAGCCACCAAAACCAACCGCAGGAACCACCTGGACCGGCACCACTGCCGCCACCACCACTCACCCCTCATTCCGCTTGCCTGATCGATTCGCATTGAGGCCATTTACTTTACACCGTGTGTAGCGAAGAGCCACGGGTGAAGCACGTGCTACTAAAAAAATGAGGGGAAAACACCTTCGACTAATTTTTAAAGACTAATCTATGGGGTACTTTTCAAGCAACCCTGAATTTCCATTCACCTTACGTGCGCTACAGAATGATTCACACGTGATGTCAGAGGGATTCATGAAAACATGCAAAGCTCGTGTTAACGTGGAGGCTGAAGTGATGATTAAGTGGAAAATCATTGCTGGTAAATAATGGTCCATTTACAATCACTTCTCTGGTTTCGTTTATTTGAATAGACAAATTGGCCTTGAATAGTTTCTACCATTTGCAGGAGGATGTGAGAGGCAACAATACACATTAGGGTGTTTTCCAATTCGCTTTTTGTGCCACTAGAACTTGTGTGCACGAGGGAAAAAACGGTACTCGAGCGAAAAGAACGGTGCATGGACAGAGAAGAAAACCAACAACAGCCACAGAGACTACACCGCCTGGAGTTGGTGGTGGCGTTATTTCAGGACATCCATATTTTGGGCTCAAGATGTGGCGATTAAAAAAACTAAAATAGCTTTTTAATAGCCCGGTATCATACCATACTCATATTAAGGATTTGTGGGGCATGAACCCTGTTTAGATGCAGGGTTATAAGCAGTGTTCATTTATGGCTGTACCAATCAAGCACAGCACAACTATCAGCCTGAGAATAATTTACCTTAATTGTTAAAAAGCAGCAATTCCCTGCTGTTTTTTTTCTTCAAAAACCCACCCACAGCTCCATTAAATTTGGTAAGAAAAATACACACAGACTAACTCAAGCTTGTTGGACCTTCCCAAGCCATTAAATCAAGAGCATCTCGTAAATTAATGAGAGAATTCTGCTAAATGTGGCCAGAGCTAATAGCTCACGTTACAGATCGCCCTCCCTGTGGTCCACTCCCTGGTGAACCGGCTCTGACTCACTGCAGCAAACTCCTTGGGGGGGGGGGCAAGGTGTTTGTTCAGGGTGTATAGCAACACGAGACACATGCACCTCGCCACATAGCCTGCACTTGCGTTGCGATGGCAGATGCTGTCCAGATTAACAGTACACTACTCAAAAATCGTACATTTGACATTTACATTTGGGCCAAAACTGATCTTTAAATATACGGGCACATTTAACCGTGCCGTGTATTAAGTGCTTTCATTTTAAATAATATTTATTTCACTGTATTTCCTGCAATCTAAACCACCTGTTCAATAATCATAACTTGCAAAGCCATCGGTTTAAAAATACTGGCATTGCAATGAAACAATAAACTGTGGTCCTGCATCAACACTCCCTTAAACCAGTTTACAGCAAAGTAAATAATTCGATATTTACATACATTTTGATTTAAAGCTTTCGCAGGGATTCATATTCTTGGTTCTTTCGGTAAAGTCATGTAGAAGGGAAACAAAAAAATAAAAAAAATGCATTTTTTCTATTTTTATGATTATTTTATTATTTTCCTTCTACGTGACTTTACCGAAAGAACCAAGAATATCGATATTTACATGTTCAGTATTCTGCAAATCAAAGGCCACGTAGAAAATACGACTCATAACGCCATGAAAGCCCTTAAGTAGTATTTGATTCTAAGATTAATCTAACTAAAACTTTAATGTAAAGTTCTAGGTACTACTCAATATGCTTATTTTCACAAGTTATACTTCATCCCCGACGAATACCTTTTTAAGCTCATAATAATTCAGTGACGAACATGAACATTTTCACGGGTCGTGTGTATAATAGGGCTGGGAATTTACCACATTCACATGCAGTATACCTAACCACACAAAATACCATTCTGAGATCATCAATTCTAATAAATTTGCACATATTTGTAGAATAAGCAAAATGCCAAGCATGGAATTTTCCCACAAAACTTTATATTCCACTAAAAAGCATGGGTAATGAATTAGCCTGGTATTTATTGAGGGGGAACACATTTCGATGAAATTTCACTGCACACTACGTTAACCCGTATGTGTATATATACCAAAGTGATCTGCGACACACAGTTGTCCCTCCTTCAATGTGCATATTAATGAAGTTACATCATCACTAAAAAAACACTAAGGAATTGGCCAAACAGACAAATGCAGGACCCCTCCTGACAAATGCCCCACATGTTCATGAACCACGCAGATGCCTCCCACCCACCGGCACTCCATTTCCACAACTGGAGTTGCCAATTGGAGCAGGAGCCTGCATTCTCCTAAACGATTTCTTTTATAGGGCTGGCCTGAAATCTACGTCAATATTCAGGCACAGCAGATATATGCACGTATGGTAAACACGAGCGCAACTCAAGCGATAACTCAAGTAAAATCATGGGAATTAAACTTTTTCTTTGCCAACTTGAGTTGTCTATCAATTGGGAGTCCTGGGCAAAAATCGGGCTCGCTCAGGTGAACTCAAATTGGCTGCCCATGCCCGCGAGCCATTCGTTTGGATGACGATATTATGATTAATATCGTCCCACTTTGAAAAGCTAACAGACGTTCATGGACATGTTTGTAGCTGATCGCTATGCGTTACGGCACTGATCAACTTCTGTGAATGACGAGATTAAAAAAAAACCCCATCACAAGATAGTAAATAACTTGTTTTAATACAGCAACGATTCAACAAGCACAAGGCGAGCACTCACAACTTGCCGGTTTCCACACTGCAGCAGCCTGAGGCCACGCATTTCCCGTATAGTAACAGTATAAATTGCACGCCTGTCACATTCCTCAGTAACCTAAATAACTACTGTACACATTGTATGAAACACGAAGACAAAAAATCCCCCCGTAGCCTTTAATAGGCTGTTTGGGGCAAGTGCCGTGAGCGAGTAGCACCCATGAAGGCCGGCACGGCACACGAGGGGGTGTGGGTGGCCAACACCACCACGCCCGGCCGCCTTTGTCTCCCCAGTAGCGATGTTTACACATCTCTCGGTCCGTAATTATCCAGAGTATCTCTGCTGCGTTTAACTTCCCTCGGCCATGTGCGTGAAGTGTACACCACGCATGTACAAAGACA